TGGAAAGAGCTATTGTAGTTGCAGAAAGCATGTAGGTTGACGGATAATTGTTTATCTGGTTTAATTTGTTTTTGGCTTCTTGACAGAAAAAAAAACCTTCCAGTATAAAAAGCTCATGTAGCTCAAGTGTGTCATTATCCATTTTTTTCTCTTTGCACATCTATGACAAAGTATTTGCAAAGGGGTAAAAACTGAGAGATCAAGAATGAAGTCAAAATATCACATAAGGGTTTAGTTTTACAGGAAAATTGATTTCGAGAGTAAAGTCATAATATTGTAGAGTATAAAGTCGTAACTTTAGTCTTTGTGTCACTTTTCAGGGGATCAGATGATCAGCCTGTTGCCTGCATGATAATGAGCAGTGTGGAGTAGCTTGTTAAGTTATACTTTCCCAGATAACAATAATTAAGCTTTTGGCTCAGCAGCACATTATCATTAGTGTCAGAATCTTAGAAAAGTTTGTGCTACAAACTGTTTTCTCATCTGAAAAAAGAAAGAACAGGAGTAAATCGCCTCTTCTGTGGAAGAGGAAATGTCTGGTAGCGGTCGAATGTGAGTTTATCATTGGTTACACCTGCATGAGGGGTTGCGTAGTTTCTCAAGGCACAATGAGATTGTGTTTTGGTTTTTGAACTCTCCTTACTGCTTATTTTCTAAAAAAATTTAGTTTTATTTTTTCCTGAAATATTCAGACTTATGACTTTTTCCTTGTAATTATTGTCATCATTCTTGCACACAATGTGATTTTTTCTTCAGTCGACACATTATTAATAGTGCCCTTGTTTTCTCCGCTCATTGTTTTCCAGGTGGAGTGGTTGAAGAATGAGGAGATCATTGACCCAGCAGAGGACAGAAACTTTTACATCACCATCGACCACAACCTGATCATCAAACAGGCGCGGCTGTCCGACACCGCCAACTACACGTGTGTGGCTAAGAACATTGTGGCGAAAAGAAGAAGCACGACAGCCACCGTTATTGTTTACGGTAAGTTTTGTGCTTGTGTCTTTGTGTGTAAAGACATAACTAGAGACATTTCTACTTAAAGCTGTAATTATACTGATTCAGGTTTATCTGTTTTCAGGTGAATGTGACATTTTATGTGACTTATATTTAAAGGTTCAGTGTTTAAGATTTAGGAGAAAATAATCTATTGGCACAAATTGAATATACAATAACCCTAGTTAT